CCTTCCTCGCCGCCCCCGACGCCGACGCCCTCGCTACCGCCAACAAAGGCCTCGCCTTTGTCGCCGCCGTCGCCCACGCCAGGGCCACCGCCGTCGCCATCCTCTGCGACGCCCTCACCTGCCCCTGCGCCCGCGGCCCCAACCCCCCTCCTCCTCCTCCGGCCGACGAATCCAACACGGTCGTCATCACCGGCGTCGCCAACCTCGAGCCCCGCGAGTTCCTCGCCGCGCTCGGGAGCGCGGCCGTCGACGCCCCCGCCGTCAGCCTCATGGACCGGGCCAGGCTCGAGAGCTGGGTCCGGGCGCTCGCCCAGGGATGGGGCCCCGACGGCCCAGGCCGCTACCAGCGCCGCACCAAAGACGACCTCATCGACAAGATTGACCTCGACATGCTGGCCGACGACGGTGCTGCCTCCGAAGAGGAGGAGGAGAAAAAGGCCGTGGTGCCTCGCAAGACGCCCAAGCAGAGGAAGAGGCGCACAAAAGCCCCCACTCCCAAGGACAAGGAGGAGGAGGAGATGGCACACAAGACGCCCAAGCAGAGGAGGCGCGCCAAAGCCTCGCTCCTGGACTCCGAGGAGGAGGAGGAGGAGCAGAAACTCAGCAGCCAGAACAACAAGGATGAGAGCGGCACTGCCCTGTCTGGGAGGCGCGAGCGCAAGAAGAGCAAGTATCTCTCACCGCCCTACACCAACATCGGCGTGTTTGCTCTCGAGGACAAGTCCCCAGATGATTCGCCAAAGAAGTCGCCGCCCGCCAGAGCTGCTAACAAGGATGAGAGGAAGAATAACAAGGCGTCACCAGAGGAGAAGCAGCAGCACAAGAAGAAGACCAAGGTGGTGCCGCCGCCGCTTCCGCTGGACAATGTCAATGCTCAGGAGGTCCTGCTGCTGCTGCGCTGCTTCGGGGAGGACGTCTCTCACAAGAGGCACTTCCCCAAGGCCGCTGAGGACTTCCTTGGCCTGCTCAGGAGCTCCGTGTTCGCCGAGGGTGCTCACCATGACTCCTACAAGGACCATGAATGCCCGGTGGCCAAGAATGCTGTTGAGAAAGCTGCTGCTGCTGCAGATGTCCTGGTTTCAGATTCAGCTGCTACTCCGAAACAAGGCAAGGGTAAGCGTGGTAGAAAGAAGAAGGATCAGGATGGCAGTGCCGATTCTTCTTCTATCAAGAAGAAGAAGAAGAAGAAGACGGCCGCTCTTGACTGTGCAGCGGAGGATGCTTCTGAGGAGAATAAGAAAGCGGAGGATGCTTCTGAGGAGAATAAGAAAGAGGAGAATGTTTCTGAGAAAAAGAAGAGGGGCAGAAGGAAGAAGGAGCAGGATGGAACCTCCCCAAAAGGCTCTGCTATCAAGAGGAAGAAGATGGACAAAACCTCCCCAAAAGCAACTCTTGGGCCTGCCTCCGGCTCTGGCTTGGTTATCACGCCCGCTATTCCTATCAGGCAGGTGAGTGCTCAAGATATCATGGGCCAAGTCAAACCAGGAGCTGGGGTTCCTGATCCCATGATGAAGAACAACTTGTTGGTGTCCAAGAGCCCGATTTCAGCCATAATGTCTGGAGGAGTAAAATCTGGAGAGGAGCAGGACCAAGGAGACACTGGATCAGTTGTGAATGCTTCATCTGACCAATCTGCCAAAAACAATGAGGAGGAAGCAACAAAGCCAGAAACTGATATGAATGTGGATACTCTTGACAGAGATGTGCCTGTGGGAAGTGGTGCCCAGACTGAAGTTACCACGCCTATGAATGTGGATATGAATGTGGATACTCTTAGCGGAGATGTTGCCCTGGCTGAAGTGACGATGCCTGAAGCGACAAAGCCTGAAACTGGTGGTATTCAGGTAGACATGAATGTGGAATGCATTGGTGTTGTAGATGTGCCTGTCACAAGTGTCCAGATGGAAGCAATGGAGCTGGAAGCTAGTATTCCTGTAGTGGATATAAATGAACAAATTGCGGCCGTGGAAGATGTGCCTGCTACAAGTGGCTGGCTTCCACCTATGCATGGAGATGTCATATCCCAGCCCGCCCATGGAAACAAAGACAATGCAAGTGTGCAAGGGCGTGCAGTCCAAGAATCCTACACATCTCTGATTAAGGCGATGGTGCCGGATATGTACAAGAAAGTGGAGGAGGTTGCTGCTGGAACAGGTGTCGTCGCGGCGCCTCAAGATGAGGCTCAAAAGGTTGAAGAGACTAGCCAGATGAAGGCAGTTGCTGATGGAGCTAGCCATTCTTCTCCTGCAAAAGGCACTAGTAGTGGTGCTACCAATGGGAGCCCCTGCCCTGATGCGCCCAACTCTGCCCAGAAGAGGAGAAACAAGAAGCCTGCAGCAGCATACTTTGCCAACCCAGCAGAGCTCCGGGTGAAATTCTTGGACGGCACCATGGTCCCCACCAAGGAGGAGCTGCTCTCGGAGTTCCGCAGGTTTGGCGTCCTGGTGGAGTCGGAGTGCGACATATCAGAAGAGCGCCGCGACGCGCGCGTGGTGTTTGGGAAGAGCACCGAGGCGGAGGCGGCCTACACCAAGGCGGAGATCCCAGGCATCTTTGGCCAGTTCGGGCCCCCCTGGGCCACCCTGGGGCTCAACTACCTGGAGGCGATCACGCTTGCACCTGCCCGTCCTGCCAAGCCCCCGCTGGCTCGTGCTGACATGAGGAAGAACGTGGAGAACATGATCTCGTCCCTGAAGAACGGGGGGCGATCTTTGCCGCTCAACGTCGGAGCGGCCGCTCCCGCTGGAGGAGCGGCGCCCGTGTCGGCGGGCCTCCTTGCTGAGATGCAGCGGCTCCTGTCCAAGCTTGACAAGCCGCAGCCGGCCCCTGGGCCTTCGGGCTCGGCTCCTCCGCCGTCGTCGTAGGCCGTCCCTACCTGCCTGCCCTTGTATTGGATGGATCCATGGAGCTTGTGTTGCTCCTCCCTAGCTTAGCTAGCTAGTTAGTGAACTAGTTGTTTTATATTTTCGGTCTAGGCATGAAGGCACGAACGCACTCGCATATGCTGGCTGGCTGTCTTTTGTTGATTATTAGAGATGCTGTCTCTGTTGCTTTATTTCCAGTCTGAGTTGATGATGAACTAGATATGTAGTAGCCAGATGAACTAGATGTATGGATGTATGGATGGCATGGCAGACGTTATTTTGTCATCATCAAATCATTTCTGCTTGCTTTTCTGCATCATTATCATCGCAGTTGCTTTTACTATTTGGTTATGCATCATCATCATCATCATCATCATCATCATCATATGTAGTATAATCACACTGATGAAATAGAAGCAGTCAGAGTCAGACATTGTGGTTTTCCTCAAGGTTAGTGAATTCATGATGCCTGTGATGTGAGTAGTCAACATATACTATCTTGGCAAGATGCAGGACTGAATTCATTGTGTTGGGGGTTGGATTTAGCATCCATGAATGAATTGCATAGGTGCATTCATATTCCATACAAGCAAGCTTAGGAAATATCAACTGCCTGCCTAAAATCTTGTTTGGCTGCTACTATCAGGTCACTGATTCTACTGTGAATCTCAAGAGTCCACATCTTAATAGGGATTTATTTATCCAACTTTGTTCGTTCGGAATCGGACCATTTCGAGTCTCTGCAAATGTGTTGTGTAAATAGAATTATCTAAAAAAATGTTGTCGAGCAGATTAAAGATAATGTCCTTTTGGCTTGCGAGTGCATCCCCGCAATCAAATGAAGAACAAACAGAAAGACAACAATGGCTTTTGTGCGGTAAAATTGAATATGCATCAGGATTAATTATGAAAATAGTTGAATGGGGAGTCCTGCTACTATGCAAATTCAGATAATTAGCGCAAAAGAAAAATGCTTTCAGATAGGTAGATACCTCAGACTCGCTGTTTTTAGTGGATATTCGAGGAGATGATGGGGAAAAAATATTGGCTCTGAAACAATCTTACCAAAAAAAAAATGCACTATTTGAACCCGATTTTGGTCTTTCCGCAACCTCGTCGGATATCCAAACACCACAAAAGTTTGCACGAATCTTGCGCACCCAAGCATGTTGGATGCCATTTTTTTTTTGGAATCTACTGTTCATCATGAGAACCCGAACTTAGATAGCAATTACTCGGTATAGTTTTTCTCTTCTGGATATAGTTTTGAATTTAGGGCAACGCTTTGTCTTGCTTTGTGCGAGTTGGAACATCCCCTAACATCAACCACTTTCTTAATGGGCCGCCCAACACGAAGGAGTATGAGGTTCTTTTTTGCTTCTTCCTTTTTCTTTTTCAATCGCTTTTATTTTATCTAAAAAAATTGCAGTCAATTATTTTCTGACATTTAAAAAATGTTCACACTTTCAAAATAAACTGTAGAAATTTGAAAAAATGTTTATAAAATGTAAAAAAAAATGTTCGCTCAACCTTTATAAATTGTGTGTACCATTAAAAAAAATGATTGTAACATTTAGAAAATGGGTGCACATTCCCAGAAATGACTGCCATTCAAAAAAAAGTTTGCATAAATTATGGAAAAAATATTTCATACCATTTAAAACATGCACGTGACAATAAATAAACGTCCAAATGTTCCAAAAAATTGTAGTGAAACTGTCTACAAAACAAATTTTAATACAACCTCAAAACATGGAATGTAATATAAAAAATGCTGACGATTCAAAAAATTATTTGTGATTTTTATTTAAAAAACACGCATTTAAAAAAAATGTTTGTCACACTTAGGAAAATGTTTCATAGTATTAATATTTTTTAAAGCATTCAAAACAGTGTTCAACATGCATTGGAAAAAAAAATTATTCAAAGAAAATATTCCAAACATGTATATCGAAGAATGTTCCAAAAATGTCATGTATTTGAAGAATGTTCCAAAAATAACATACTAAATGTTTATTCAAAGAAAATGTTCCAAAAGTGTCATGTATTTGAATAATGTTTATGTGTATAGTAAAAATGTTATGCGTGTATACATAAACGTAGAAACATATATTGGAAAAATTCATATAAAATAAAAAAGTGAAAAATGTTAAAGAAATACAGGAAATAAACCTATGAAAAAAAGGAAAAAACAAACCCAAAAGAAATATACAAAGACAAAAAAACACAGCAAAAATTGCTGAAAATTGCTTTATTATACAGTATGCAAACAACCCTTTATTGTCTCAAAAAAAAAACCAAGCCTTTATTGATCATCTGGGTTGGGCATCTGCGACAACACGAACTCCCATCAGGCATGATGAGCGGGGCCTGCGACTGCGACGGCGCTGGGCACCATGACGACCTGCGCCTGAAAATACTGGTTCAGCATGTAGCTGGGACAGCTCCGTCCTGCCGAGGATGTCGAACAGCTACAGGCCCTCCGTTCCTAAATGTAAGTCTTTGTAGAGATCCCACTATGAACCACATACGGCTGTATATAGATGCATTTTAGTGCGTAGATTCACTCATTTCGCTCCGTATCTAGTCCATAGTGAAATCTCTACAAAGACTTATATTTAGGAATGGAGGGAGTAGTTGCGAGCCTGAAACAGAAGAAACTTGATCAAGGTTTGACCGAAGCTCGATTGCGGATTTCGCTTCGCTTGTACTATGTTGGAAGAGGATGTAAACAGAGTTGGTAGCAGTGTTAGATGGAGGGTATCAGGTTCCTTTCATTAGCAGTAAGAAGAGTAAACTGTATGAGAGTCTGATGCAGACAAGAGGTTTCATTCAGAGAGACCCCAGAGAATATTGACTGTAAGTTGGCTAACAACAGCCTGGTTCTTTTTTCACTATGGACGGCAGGAGCTGCAACCGGCTTGCATGGGTTATCACAAGTTGTGGGAAACGATTATTGAGTTGGAGACAATTATCACAACTGGCAAAGGATTCGAGCATGTTACAGAATTGAGCCTGAGACAAGCAACCAAACAGTTGGCAGGTCGGTTCATAGTTGGACTGTGTAATCAATCTAGCCAGTTCATAGTTGGACTGTGTAATGAATCTAGGCTCCAAGCAAGTCAAACAAGAAATCCAAGAAATCAAACCAAATAGAAACCTAAAAAAGGTGGACTCTTTCAAATCTACTCCCTCCGTTCCAAATTACTCGTCGCTGAAATGGATGTATCTAGAACTAAAATACATCTAGATACATTCATAAGTGCGACAAGTAATTCGGAACGGAGGGAGTATTTCCTTGTGAGGTGGATGGGCCTCCCGGCGGTCGACTCGTTGCCTTCTCTTCCTTCTTTTTTTCTCTCTTCCTTTTTCTTCCTTTTTTCAAGTTCACAAAAAAAAAGTTGCGAAAGAAATTAGTGCATTTTTTTCTTGAAAGTAGATGGACTTTTTCAAAATCAATGAATTTCTTTTCAAATTCATGAACATTTTCCTTGAAAGTAGATGAATTTTTTCAAAAACAATGAACTTTTTTTCTCAAAATTTTATGAATTTTTACCAAATTGATGAACGTTTTTTCTTCAAATTCTTCAAATTCATGAGATTTTTTTGAAAATCTGTGAAGTTTTTAGAATCCGTGAGCATTTTTTTTGAATTCTTCTGAAATTTCAAAAAACAAATCTTAATAGTCAATGGCCAATTGTTGACCGGTCTACAAATACCAGCGAACCACAACAATATCGAGCTTTTTCTTAAGCGAATGATCTAGTAGGGGAAAGCCAGGGAAGCGCGCATCATGCGCAAGCTCATCGGCTCATTCTTGGGCCGGCCCATGTAGCCAGGCGCACGGGCGCTGGTTTCCTTTACTGGCGCATAAGGCGCCAGCGAAGAGCTCTCCATATGTGGGCGGATGTGGGGAGGCCTGGACACTGCCGCCACGTCGGATCGGTCCATTATGGATCACGCCGCCCCCACCACTACACCTAAAAAACTGCACCCGCATTTGACGAATCCTAGTCAAACCCTTAGTCCTCTTGGCCTCTCCTCTTCCTTCCCGTCTCCTCCCCTTCCTCTCCGAGCTAGATTTCTTTTCTCAAAAAAAAGAACTATACAATTAAAAGGAAATCAACTAATAATTATCAAAAAAAGAGAAGAAATCAATTGGTTTCTCTTAAGTTAGGGATTTTTTTGTTGATAACCTTAAGTTAGAGATAAGTAAGAGCATTTACCCGGGACCTCTTATATGTCGCTTATTGCGGCAAGGAGTCGTGGTTTCGCACGGGAGGCGGCTCGCCTGGACCGGCCCATTCGTTGGGACCAAATTGAAAAGGTGAACATTTTTCAAAATTACAAAATCTTTTTACAAAACTCGAGCATTTGCTGAATTTGCAATTTTTTTAAAACATGATATCGTTAGGAATTTGTGGAAATGGTACCATTTTTTTGAATATGTGAACAAATTTGAAAAACAGGAACAATTTTTGCAGTTCCGAAACACTTTCTGAAATTCCCAAACTTTTTTTCAATATGTGAACAAAATTTAAAATACGAACATTTTTTGAATTTGTAAATAAATCTTGAAACATGAACGTTTTCTGAATTTGCAAACAATTTTTGAAAACCGGAACTGTTTTTAAACCAAATATTTTTTGGTTTGTGAACAAACCTCAAAAAGGTGAACAGTTTTGAATTTCCAAACATTTTATGAAACAAAATTTGAAATTCCATAAATGGGCCGGCCCACTCGGTCTCTCGCTCGCACTTTCTATGCAAAGCGTCGACAGTTGGACGCAATATGCATCGTATAGGATTATCTCATTTACCTGTCAAAAAAAATGAGTAAGAGCATTTACAACTTGAGCCCTCAAAGCCGCCCCAAAACCAGCCCAAAAGTGTGGGTTGTCCGTCAACCCCATATCCATTCCATACGTGGGCCGGATATGGGGAGGCCCGGACACTGTCACCACGTCGGACAGGCCCGCTATGGTGCACACCGCCCCGTC